GAGAAACTCGAAGATTCGAATCAACTGAACCAATTGTTTCGTAAAATGATTCACTGATTCGAAGCGCTCGAAACACCTGGTAAAACAAAACAAAACAGTGTAAATACAACAAAAACTCATGCTAAACATGCATAAAAACAGCTTTTACAAACCCACTGAAAATATTTTATTGAAGGTATAATACAGTATATTAAAAGCAATTAACATCATCAAATACTATAAAATATGAAGTGTCTACATAATATTTCATCTTTTATTAATTTGCAGGGCTTTTTTTGTTTGTTTAATGGAGGGCTTGTCTAAACAGGCCATTAAGAGACTAACCACTACTCTTCCTTTTAATTGCACAAATATCTCCATTCAAACCAGTTCAATTTTTGCTGATGATATTCTTTTGTTTTATGACTGCGGTAATTATGAGTGAAACATCAGGTTGTCATTGTGTATCAAACAGTGCCACCTCGAGGAATAAAAATGCATTGCACTTATTGAGTCATCAGATTGCGCAGGAAAAATACACTTACACATTTACATAGCCTACATTGGGTCTCTAGCGACCCTATACATTTTTTACAAAAAAAGGGAAGAAAACAGGCATTCTTTTATATTTTATTATTTTTTCTTGTTATATTGTTTATAATGAATAGATTGAGGAATACTAAGAAAGTTGATGTCTAACTTTCAAAAATGAAGGAGGGAGAGGGTAGAGAATGATGTCCCGGGTCGCTAAAGACCCGAGGTATGCATTTAAGGGCTCTAGATGAGGTAAAAATTTGTGAACAAAATTTTTTGTTGGCTTAGTCTAGAAAGCCTATAGTCTAAAAGTTTAAAATAGGGTAATAACAATGTCTGCAGATCCAGAGATCTGAGATTTTGTGTAACATAAGTGTCATTTTTTTGTGTAACATGACAACACATTTTAATAATATTTGTATGCTATAGTTGTGTAGTATTTGGGGATTTATGGTATTTTTAATTTGAACTGGCTAATTTAGTAATGTTTGTTTATAACTGGGCTTATTAAACTAGTAAAATTCACTTTAAAGAAGTACGTTCCCAGTTCAATTCATGGTGATAACATTAGAATGGGCTAGTAGTACATTGCTGCCATCTACTGGAAATCGAACACTTTTCAAATTTATTTTGAAGATTAAACAGTAGCCTACTGTATACTAGGGAAGTGTTCAAATGAATACAGTTTTGTGCAGGAATACCAGTTGTAATTATTCTTGATGTTTAATTGTGTTTAATTTATAAAGTGACTTAGGCAGTACCTATATTTTTATAGTTTCACTGGAAACAATTTAAAATAAGGTTAATTGTCAATAACTAACACTAACAACAATAATAAATACTGTTACAAATGTATTGTTCATTGTTAGTTCAAGTTAGTTAATATTCACTAATGTTAATGTGAGGCAAGGGGCACCAGGTTAAATCTTACATAGGGCAGTAAATTGGCTAGGGCCGGCCCTGGGAGCCACCTATAATTGCAGGTGATTAATTGACATGTTAAAGTGTAGACCCTGAACATAATATGACCCTATTTTTTTAGATGCATTTCCAGGAAAAAAAAAAAAACACTGTCTTTTATTTGGAGCAATACTGTATTTATGAGTTGATAAGTCTTACATGAAGATCAGCATTATCTGTCACTACTGTATATACACACACACACACACACACACACACACACACACACACACACACACAAGTAGGTTAGAGAAGGTCATTTTAGCTTTGAGACAGTGTATCACACTGGCTTTTCAACACATTTACACACACACACACACACACACACACACTGAGAGAAACACACACCAGACACATGCATGAAGGATTTATGTGCTGTCAGATGGGTATTCTGTTTCAGTAATGACAGCTCAATGACATAAATATACATACCAAACACACACACACACACACATTGTACTGCATCTCACTTCTGTCTACTTGTGAAGTTCTGCGTATTTATATTTTTTAAAAAAGACTGGCAGTCTGGCGCAATCATGAAACCTCGACCCCCCACCCCCACCCCCCACAAAAAAAAGAAAGAAAGAAAAGGAAATAATTTTATGTTTTTCCTAAATAATTTTATGTTTGTTTATTAGTACGGCTGAATTCGAACATCGAAGGTCAGCAGCAAAGACCCTGGTTAATAAAATGGGTTTGAATACATAAAGAATATCTGTGTAATTTTGTTATATGAGTGAAGAATGATACATAAAGACATTAATCACAAATAAATCCCGAGCTGACAATTAAATAAAGAAAAGAAGCTAATCTAGAAGGATGGAAACGCAAATTTAGAGAATTTAGTAGAAATGGTCAGAGCTGCAGAAACAGTCTGTTTATCTGTAACACACTAAAAACGGAAGGAGAACAGCTCGGTTTGATGATCCCGACTGTCATAAACATCGTAAACGTGTTTCCCTCCCGTCCTCTGAACGAGAGAGGAAAACCCTGGCGTCTCGTCAGCAGGAGCATCACTATCATGTCAGTAGATCAAAGGTGAACACACTGCAAAGTGACCAGTAATAATATATGAAATACAAGTCACTCATCATTAAAAGACATTAACAGTCAAACTAGCTTTTGGAAAAAGTATTTACAGTAACTGCACTAGTTACCAAAAAGAAATAAATAAATAAGAATGAGTAGCATGTATGTAAAAACATGTATATATTTGATATATGTGGCAGTTAAACTGTGCTTGTAAATAAATTATTACAAATTTTAAATACAAATTTACAATTTATAAATATTTGTCATTTATAAATAATTTTGAAAATAATTATTAATTATAAAAATAATAATTTATAATAATTATATATATAATTTAAATATAGAATAATTTAATTTAATTGTGCATATATATATATATATATATATATATATATATAAAATCTAATTTTGATTATTATATTCATAATTAGATTAATACTTTTGATTATTATATTATTATTTATATATATTTTTATATATAAAAGACAGCACAATCATTCCATTATAGTAAACTTACAATGACACAAGTAAAAAAAAAAAAAAAGTTAGAGCTCCAGTGTGTTCAATATTGATATTATTGGCTGGGTTTATTTACAATTTTTACTATCCACGATTTACTGTCGCCATCCACGGATGTTGACTAGTTTACATTAGGATGCTTTGTGAAGGATAAGTGCTCTGCAGGCGGTTAAAGTTTCAGAGGAGACATCACATGCATTCTGTGCGGTGCATGCATGTATTTTAGACCTGCTAATCTCTGGATCATATACAGTATCTTATAAAAGTGTTTGAGTGGAATTAGTCTGTGGAATTTAATCTGTCAATTCTGAAATGTAACACACAGTTGTGCCAGCTGCATTACACACACACACACACTCCTTTGTTTTCTTTACTCCACGTTACTTTCTCAATGTCACTTTGTCATTAGAAACATTCACATACACACAAACATGAGCTTCAGTGAACAAGGCCCATTGTGAAATTTTGCACGCTTATTGTGATTATTATGATAATCTGCTTTAGGGCTGCACAATTAATCTAATTTCTAATCGCAATTACAATTATGGATGCCACAATTACGTAATCATTCAAAGTCCGCTTATGTTATTCTGCACGCTTAAGATATGTTTTTTCTTTCTACATGTTATCTTAAGGGTTTTTCCATTGTTTTAGTTTTAGTATAACATTATAATACCATTCATATTTTTACTTTTTTATCATTTAAAGAAGAAACCAATCCGATGTATATTTGACATTTGAGGCTTAATACAATAGGAAAGCACTAAAGGTTTTTCAGTTAGAGTGTTTTCAGCTTGTTTATTTTCATATAAAAATACGGCATGCAGTTGCATCAAACAATGGTATAAACATCATTCAATGTAAATTGTGATAATCGTAATTAATAATCACAATTACAATGCCAAGGGAATAATCGACAATTATGATTGTTGTCATAATCGTGCAGCCCTACTTCAGTGATTTGTTTCCTCAGGTGGGCAACAATCCACACAATGAAAATAGACTAATAACATCTTATGGAAAAAACAAAGGATTCTGTGAAGGTTAGGTTTAGAGGATAGAAAATATTGTTAGCTTAGTACAAAACATGAATGGACAGTCCTCACCATGATAAAAACCACATTAACCAAGTCAAAATATAAAGCAAGCAATAAATACATAAATAGATAGATAAATAAAACTTTAGGGTTGGGTTTGGAAATCTATACTAATAAGCATATTAAAAATTAAATATTTTAGAGTTTATTTAATTAAATGATTATATAATTTATTAAACATTTCACATACTATTATAGCTTTTATTACTATTTTGGTATTACTATTTTTTATATTTTGATAGTTTTCTTTTTCATTTTAGTGTTTGCAATTTTTAAGCTTTTTAAAACTATGTCTATAGTTTTTATACGTTTTTATTTCTGTTATTTTATTACATTAATTGGAACTGTGGTTCATAAGTTTTTTTTTCCTATGCAAAACAAAATGATTTTAGGGTTAGGTAGGTTTGGAAATCTTTACTAATTAACATATTGATAATCATTTAAGTTATTTATATTATTACATTCTTTATTTTATGTAGATTTTGTGTCAAACAGTGTTATTTTAGTATCATTTAGATATTACAGCTTTTATTAATTTTGATTTAATTTAAATTTTTGCTTACTTTTAAAGTTTCAGTCATTTTCTTGTGTGTTTAATATATGTATTTTCAAATGTATGTATATAGTTTTTCATTTTATTTCTGTCTTAGTTTTAGTCATTTTAAAGTGGAAATGTGGTTCATATTTTTATTAAATAAAATGTAAAAAAAAATCTATTTAATCTATCTATTTTTAAAATCTATTTTATTTCTATTTTACATTTTCAACTTTATTTTATTTGAAGTAATAAAATTGTTTTTATAGTGTTATTTAACTATAATAACCTTGATGGCAGCCTCCATTTACATCTGCAGGTATCTCTGTGTGTGTGTGTGTGTGTGTGTGTCATTTGACCCAATTTGTGGTCCGTTACATCACTCCAGTGATGTGTCTGTCTGTGCATTTGTGTTTCTGATGTGTTCCCTATATTTGGCCAAAGTGTGACATTGGAAACGCCCTCCTTACGGTTTCTAGTGGCCATGTGCCCATCTCTCCGCACTATATGTCGGCTATAAAAGAGCTGCTGCACCTTACACACGACGCGGTCCATATCCAGACACATTACATACAGACAAACTCAAACTCAATCATCAAAATGCCTTCAAGCACAAGAATTATGGCGCCTCAAATCAAGAAGACAGGTAAAGCATTACTATCATAATTAAGAACTAACCCAGAAATAAATCTCAGAAAGTTTCTTCTGTAGTCAAACGAGGTTGTAATGTACAGGATCTATTTTATACAAACATTTTAAATGTATAATTTTTTTTGTTTTTGTGTTATTGTTACATTATTTAGCTGTAAAATTATAGGCATCATAGAGAAAAAACAAATGTAGCCTACTAAAAAACTAAGCTCCATACAGTAACACTAACTGTATTAGTACAGATAGTAAATAATTAAAATATTAAATATTAAATATTACCAAAGCAACTCAATTCAGTCTGAAACCGGGATAATATCATTCACTAAAACTAAAACCATTAAAAAAAACTATTTTATTTCAGTTAGTTGCCAATATTTCTAATTTTCATGAAGTGTAAGTACTAAAGCAACTATAAACTAACACTAAAAACTAAAACTTAATCAAATTAAAATAGAAAATAGGAAAGTAAAATCTTATCGAAAATATTAAAAACTACAAAGCTGTAAATAAAACAAAGATTGCTGGAGTGTAAGTTTTAAGAGAAAATACTACTTCAGTCTTTCTAGTTTCACGCTTCAAAATGTCATGTTTAATGCAATGCAATTATCACGTTTAATTTCTTTGTCATTATTTGTGAAATACTAGCAATTTCTACAAAAAATATAATAGTATAATAGTTTATGTATAAAATGTATAATAGAGTATCATCAGTGACTCTTCTGGTTCACAATAAATCTAAGTAACAAGGAACAGTTTCAAAGGCATGCATGAGGACATTATGTCACACTTATTCATTATCAAATCAATGCATGCCATTTAATTATAGCAAATGTGTCAAGAATGTCAATGCAACAGGGAGTACAATAACATGCTGGATAATTAAACTGAAGCATGATGTTAATTATCCAAATGCATATGCATCAGTTTTGGGGTCGGGTGTATTGTTCGACTGTACTGTATATCAGGTTGCCACATTATCAGAAGTCTGAACAAGTGTTATAAATCATTTCACACTGCTATTGGGTCACATTCACACACACTCATACACACAGTACATTGCCACATGTCTGAAACGGTTGCCAGAGATGTGTCCTCAATGGCTTAACTATAGACTCGTATCAGAGAGACACAGACTTATGAAGGTAGAATGACGTCAAAAAGATTTGCATACACAGGGTAAGAGTTGTGGAAGTGTACATAAGACTGTAAGCGTAAATTAAATTTGCATGCGCAAGAGAAGCTTTGTAAAGGTGTAAATCGTGTTTCAAGCGCAAGAAAAAATTATTTGCAGCATTTTACTGTTACTCGTAAGTGTAATTCATGTATTGTGAAACTGCAGCTTCATGCTAACGCAAAATAAATATGATCTGCATGCTTCTGACTTCCATGTTTCCGCATGGAAGTCAGAAGCATGCAGATCATATTTATTTTGCGTTAGCATGAAGCTGCAGTTTCACAATACATGAATTACACTTACGAGTAACAGTAAAATGCTGCAAATAATTTTTTCTTGCGCTTGAAACACGATTTACACCTTTACAAAGCTTCTCTTGCGCATGCAAATTTAATTTACGCTTACAGTCTTATGTACACTTCCACAACTCCTACCCTGCGTATGCAAATCTTTTTGACGTCATTCTACCTTCATAATTGGCTAGTTCAATCAATTTGACATTGACGCTGCGCTGCGATGAGGAAGATCAGCCAAAAATTTACCATTTAAACATTTTGTCATTCTAACAACAAACAGATAATAGAAAGAATATAGGCCTGTATTAAACTACTGATTTCTTATTTCTTCCAGGAAGGAAAATGAAAGCCGGAAATACTCCTGTTGGTATGATGAACTAAACCTCTGTCTGCATGATAATGATAAGTATTATTAACGTTATGCCGAAATCTAAATCTAAACTGATATTTCTCATATCTTCAGAAAAACTTCCAATTTATGAGCCGAACATCCCAGAGCCGACGTCCCGAGAGGAGCTGCTCAAATGTGAGTCACACTCACAGACAATCAAACTCTAGTTAAATCAGTAAACATACCTGTTCCTTTCCTCTTAGACTGGCTCAATATCTCATTGGACGAACGAACTGCCAATAAAGTGCTGTGGCTGACCGAGGGCGGGGCTAAAGTGTCCCGCATGACAGATGAGGTGTGTCCTTACCTGGACAGGCCAGAGAGATTTGACCACAGCCCTCAGGTAAACACACACACACACACACACACACACACAAACACCTTACTTAGCAGAAAGACCTCTGTGAAAGACTCTGAACTGTTGATTGTTGTTAATAATAAAATAATTATAATTCACAGTGCATTGTTTTTTAATTAATAATTTGTCCAGCACAAATTTTACTTAATTAACTTACAGTACTTGTTTTACTACTTATGCCTATGTGATGAAGCATATTTTTTTCCATATGAATTGACATATTTGGAAATATTTTCAGATTTCAGCCATCAAAAGTAATTGAGATATAGCATATATATATATATATATATATATATATATATATAGGCTATATAATGTTTGCATAACTTCTGAAAATCAATTGATCATTTAATAATTTAATAACTTTTAATTTAGTGAGCAACAACCATAAAAATGTACTAATGTACTAATAATGTATAATAAATGTACTAATAATGCATACAAAAATATTATTAATAATAATAATAATAATAATAATTACTTATCAATATTATTATTACTTACAGCATAATAAAACTTTCACAAAATGAATGCATTGCAATTTTTTTTCTTATTAACATTTATAATTTTAAACTAATAACATTTAATAACTTTTAAAATAGTGAGCGACAACCATAAAATGTACTACTACTACTACTACTACTACTAATAATAATAATAATTCATTATGTGAAGGTTTTTCTTTATTGGTAAGTAATAATAATAATAATAATAATATATTATTATTATTATTACTTGCCAGTATAGAAAAACCTTCACAAAATGAGTGCATTGTAAATTACTATTTTAATATTATTAATAACAATAATAATTTACAGTGCATTAATTTAGTGAGGGTCTTTCAGCTAAGTGAGATGATACAATGTCAACTATCATCAAAATATATAAAATGAACAAAACATATCGGGAAGCCATATGTTTTGATTTGTGGCCGATTCAGCATTTGAGAATGCATAAAAACACACATACCAGATAGTTTCTACCTTCATCTCTCTCATGCATTATTTCCAAAATAGTTTCTACCTTTTGCAGTTCTTTAAACTGTTGTTTTCGCTTGCAAATCACTGTTCACAGGCTTGCAGTGCTTTTGACCGTCTTTTGGCAAAAAAAACGTGCCAAAAGCGTAAGCGCGGAAAAATGGAAGTCAGAAGCATGCAGATCATATTTATTTTGCGTTAGCATGAAGCTGCAGTTTCACAATACATGAATTACACTTACGAGTAACCGTAAAATGCTGCAAATATTTTTTTCTTGCGCTTGAAACACGATTTACACCTTTACAAAGCTGCTCTTGCGCAAATTTACGCTTATTACGCTTACAGTCTTATGTACACTTCCACAACTCCTACCCTGCGTATGCAAATCTTTTTCTACCTTCATTACCTTCATAATTGGCTAGTTCAATCAATTTGACATTGACGCTGCGCTGCGATGAGGAAGATCAGCCAAAAATTTACCATTTAAACATTTTGTCATTCTAACAACAAACAGATAATAGAAAGAATATAGGCCTGTATTAAACTACTGATTTCTTATTTCTTCCAGGAAGGAAAATGAAAGCCGGAAATACTCCTGTTGGTATGATGAACTAAACCTCTGTCTGCATGATAATGATAAGTATTATTAACGTTATGCCGAAATCTAAATCTAAACTGATATTTCTCATATCTTCAGAAAAACTTCCAATTTATGAGCCGAACATCCCAGAGCCGACGTCCCGAGAGGAGCTGCTCAAATGTGTCACACTCACAGACAATCAAACTCTAGTTAAATCAGTAAACTTACCTGTTCCTTTCCTCTTAGACTGGCTCAATATCTCATTGGACGAACGAACTGCCAATAAAGTGCTGTGGCTGACCGAGGGCGGGGCTAAAGTGTCCCGCATGACAGATGAGGTGTGTCCTTACCTGGACAGGCCAGAGAGATTTGACCACAGCCCTCAGAGGTACACACACACACACACACACACACACACACAAACACCTTACTTAGCAGAAAGACCTCTGTGAAAGACTCTGAACTGTTGATTGTTGTTAATAATAAAATAATTATAATTCACAGTGCATTGTTTTTTAATTAATAATTTGTCCAGCACAAATTTTACTTAATTAACTTACAGTACTTGTTTTACTACTTATGCCTATGTGATGAAGCATATTTTTTTCCATATGAATTGACATATTTGGAAATATTTTCAGATTTCAGCCATCAAAAGTAATTGAGATATAGCATATATATATATATATATATATATATATATATATAGGCTATATAATGTTTGCATAACTTCTGAAAATCAATTGATCATTTAATAATTTAATAACTTTTAATTTAGTGAGCAACAACCATAAAAATGTACTAATGTACTAATAATGTATAATAAATGTACTAATAATGCATACAAAAATATTATTAATAATAATAATAATAATAATAATTACTTATCAATATTATTATTACTTACAGCATAATAAAACTTTCACAAAATGAATGCATTGCAATTTTTTTTCTTATTAACATTTATAATTTTAAACTAATAACATTTAATAACTTTTAAAATAGTGAGCGACAACCATAAAATGTACTACTACTACTACTACTACTACTAATAATAATAATAATTCATTATGTGAAGGTTTTTCTTTATTGGTAAGTAATAATAATAATAATAATAATATATTATTATTATTATTACTTGCCAGTATAGAAAAACCTTCACAAAATGAGTGCATTGTAAATTACTATTTTAATATTATTAATAACAATAATAATTTACAGTGCATTAATTTAGTGAGGGTCTTTCAGCTAAGTGAGATGATACAATGTCAACTATCATCAAAATATATAAAATGAACAAAACATATCGGGAAGCCATATGTTTTGATTTGTGGCCGATTCAGCATTTGAGAATGCATAAAAACACACATACCAGATAGTTTCTACCTTCATCTCTCTCATGCATTATTTCCAAAATAATAACGCGCATTCCTCTGTGTGTGTGTGTGGTCAGGTGCTGTGTAAGGAGTCTGTCTGGGCGTCGCGCTGTTATTGGGAGGTGCTGTACTCTGGCTGGGTGGTTATAGGAGCAGCATGTGAGGGTGCTGGGAGGAAGGCAGGCGACGGTCCCTGTGGCCTCGGGGAGAACGAGGAGTCATGGGGTCTGGGTTGGGCCAGATCCTGTTATGAAGCCTGGCATAAAGGAACCAGCAGCAGGGTGGCAGACGTGCCTCAGTGCTGCACTATAGGGGTGTATGTGGATCAGCCCGCGGGTCTGCTCTGCTTCTACACCGTGGAGACAGAGGAAGATTCAAAGAAAAAAGAAGTCAAACTTCTTCGCAGGTTTAAAAATCCCATAAAGGAGAACATTCTGCCAGGTTTCTGGGTGGGAAGACAGTCCTCTTGCTTAATACTCAAGAAAGAGGAATGAGGTAGAGGGGGAGACAAGTAATACTGTGGCTTGTATTTTATTTTACACTGTAAAACCTCATATCATCACTTTATTTTTGAAATTACTGTTCATCTGTTTTTCTGCTAATGCCTATTTGTAATCATGCATTTTCAGGTTCACAAATTTGATTTAAAAAATGCATCATGCATATATATAATCATTCTAGAATTCTAGAATTAATTTACACTCTTAAAAATAAAGGTTTTTATTGGAATCAATGGTTCCATGAACAACCTTTAGCATCTTTTGATCCTTTCCATCCCACAAAATGTTCTTTATAGAGGAAGAAGGTTCCTTACATTTTTTTAAATGTTCTCCACACTTACAGTAGAAACAATTGTTCTTTTATTAACTGTTCACTGAAAGGTTAGAATCCAAAATTATACTTTTATGGCATGACTGCAAAAACCGCATTTGAAACCGGTATTGTTTTAGAGTTTATACACCTGTGCCGTCCAGCCGACTCATGAATTTTCAGCCCCTGTTGGTTCCTTCTGAATAATTTTGCACCTTTCTTTGTCTCGAACCCAGTCATGCCGCTGCCCTGTCCAGGTTTGTCAGTTTCCACAGCTCTTGTCGGCTCCTGAAATTAACTGTTCACTGAAAGGTTAGAATCCAAAATTATACTTTTATGGCATGACTGCAAAAACCGCATTTGAAACCGGTATTGTTTTAGAGTTTATACACCTGTGCCGTCCAGCCGACTCATGAATTTTCAGCCCCTGTTGGTTCCTTCTGAATAATTTTGCACCTTTCTTTGTCTCAAACCCAGTCATGCCGCTGCCCTGTCCAGGTTTGTCAGTTTCCACAGCTCTTGTCGGCTCCTGACATCGCTTCCTTTGCTTCCTGTGCACTCTTTTTTTTTTCCCTTTTCTCACCTTGATGCCAGATTCTGCAACTCTGGGATAGAAAAAATAATAACATAAAATAAAAAATATTCACAATAACACAGTAAAAAGCATATTTAGTGAATCATTCATTTGTTATTGCTATACCAACTCTTGTTAGTAATACCGTCACTCTTTTTGATCAACAAATCCTTGGTAAACACAAGCAGATCACTGTGTTTAGTCTGCACATAAATGCATTTACATGCAAGTGCTTCGTCAGTATGAAATGAAAATGAAAATTTTCTTTCAGCTGCTTTTGATTGGTTGTAATAGTTTAAAACATTTGCATTTAGCAGTAAATGTGAACTGAAGCTCTTGGGGTTTGAACATGGTCTCTGGAGACGGAGCTGCTCTATTCTGAGACGATCAGAATCACTAAAGCTGCCAATGCAAATCTGATTTTCAGCTCAAACTCACAGTTTCACTGTATGATCGGTTCAACGCTATGAACTGGATCAGTTTCACTTCTGCTCATGAGAAATGAGTAAAAAATGATCAGCTTGAGATGAAGGAGCTTCTTGAGAAACTGCTCAAGAGCACATTTTTTATTTTGATTTATTTATTTATTTTTTGCTGGTGATGCACAGTGACTTTATGACGTTAAAATGAGATGTTAGTGTAGAATGAACAAAATCAAGATAATATTTTAGTTTGATCTGATATCAGTTTCCATACTCTGTTTTCTCTGATTCTGAGCATAAGTCAGTCAAACCTGTCTGTCACAGGACAGATTACAGTCTAATAGAGCTGATTTGACTCCTAACTCAGTTTTGAGCTCATGTGTAGTTCTGTGTTCGGTCTCTGTGTGTCAGTAGTGTGTGATAGTGTTTGAGCAGCTGCAGCAACAGTTCATCACTGTGACTCTGACTGACGAGGTTTTTGTACGACTCTTTATCACTGTGTGAACACACTTTTACTGTTGATGTAGTGGTAACTCTGACAGTAATAATCTCCTGTATCTTCAGTCTGGACTCCACTGATGGTCAGAGTGAAATCACTGTTAGATCCACTGCCACTGAATCTAGATGGAGTTCCTGACTGGAGGGTGTTTGCCCAATAAATCAGGAGTTTAGGAGCTTCTCCAGGTTTCTGTAAGTACCAGGATAGAGGCTGAACACTGTAATCCTGGTAAACTTCAGGGCTGGTTTTACAGGACATGGTAACTGTGTCTCCTGGTTGAACAGGTTTGACTGCAGGCGTCTGAGTGACTGTCACTTCAGCTGCTGATTCTACATAAAGAAAAATGAATAAACATTCAGAATTAAGTATTTGTTGAAAGACAGTATTTCTAGCACAGATGATCAGTTAGAATAGAGTATGTTTATTTCCTCACCTGTGAAACAGTAGCTAGTGAAGATCCAGATGAAGATGGTGATGAAGCTCATGGTTGCTGTTGGTTCAGATTCTCAGAGTTCAAACTCACAGAGCTATAAAACCTCCTGAAGCTTGTGCTGCAATGCAAATCATCTCTATGTAAATCTGTGTATGGGTTACAGTCGATGATGCACATAAAACATTACAGTGTTTGGGATCTTTTTTTATGTTATGAGTCAAAACATGCATTCATGTGTCTGAAGCTCCAGGTTTTCTGATGATTCAAATGACAGTTGCATCAAGAAAAATGTCACTGTGAACTCCATGAGAGGGCAAAGGTCAATCCAGAGGTCACAGGTCATCAAAACATCTTTTAAAAGCTGCTTTAATGATTAAAAATGCTTTGAGAAATAAATGATCGTCTAGAAACCCAAATTTAAAATATAGAATAAAAATTTGATTAATACACCAGGGGCGTCGCTACGGTTTCTGGGCCCCCTAGACAACATATTTACTTGGGCACCTGCTTTCCGGGGGGTGGGGGGTTTGGTCCCCCTCAGTAGAAATCGCGATCTCGTTCCCCTCAGTAGAAATAGCGTTTCCCCCTCGAGGGGGACCCCTCCATCGTCGGGCCCATAGAATCGTCCTAACCTTCCCCACCCTTATGGCGCCCCTGTAATGCATACATTTCCTGAATAATGTAATTGAAGTATTTTATTTACTTTTTTATTTATAAATAATTCCTAGTTTTCATGCATCAATAGACATTTAGAGATGAGGAGGCTGTTTTTGTGAAAGTCAATCCAGTTATCCATCGCTGATAAACAGAAGAGCTGATGTTGAGTCTCATGTTAGTGTGAGTGTCATGGAGTTTGTGTTCATTTGAGTGTGATGGAGGTTTAGGAGCTTCTCCAGGTTTCTGTAAGTACCAGCTGAAATAGTATGTCCTAGAATAACGGAACACATCTGTGCTGGTTCTACAGCTGATTTTGACTGTTTCTTCTGGTCAGTGATGAAGTGTTAAACTCACAGCACTATAAACACTCTCAGAGCACTGAAGCATCTGATCAATATGCAAACACACTCCACATCATTTACCTGAAGCCAGTCGCTCAATAACAGACACAAAATACTGTTACTAATTAATCTTTCAATATTAGATCTTCTAATAGCCAAGCTGTTATAAATTATATCAGATCATTCACTTACGAATAAATCTACAAGACCAACTTAACTATTTTATCCTGACTGTCTCCTGTGAGACTTTGAGAATATTTTTGACTGTAGTTGGAGAGAAACATGACTGTTAATTCATAAATTTTATGCCAAATCCATGGATCATCACACGTGTCTCTGTCAATCACTGAATCAACTGAGTTTGATTGTGAGTCACGTCACACATGATATAAAAGTTTCATAAATTCAGGTTCATGCTTTAGTAATAATGCAGACTGCATAAAGCAGATGAAGTAACTGAAGGTAATGTCTGCTGTGAGTGGATGTGTTTGTTGGAGACTCAGTTGATGTGTGTTTGTGCAGTTAGTGAAGCGTTCAGGAGGTTTTTGTTCAGCTGCTCTATTAGTTTCTATCACTGTGGTGGACTTTCGGCAGCGGCACCAAACTGGATGTTGGCAGTAAGTAAATCATCATTTAATTATTAATATTAATTATTAATACAACAACTGACTGTTAAACATTTTGTTGCTCTATAGAAAGGATGCACTTTTACGCTTATGTATATATTTACATTTTATATTTAATTCACTTTGAATGTTTGGCAGTCAGCATTGTAAAGATGGTTTTCATTGTCATGACATCTTTTTTTTCATCCAGTGAACTAAAATAATTTCTGTTATTTCTTAATAACTTGATTTTATGAGTTTTCAAAACTTCAGCTATTTTTTCCTCATTGATAATTAAATTCTAAATGTTAAAAAGGTGCACTGAAATCAAATGTACATTAGTTTGACATTTTGGCACCACTTTGATTTTACTTGAAAATTAAACTTACATTTTCAGATTAGTTTGTTGATTTTTAAGTAAAGCCTGCAAATATTTTCAAACGGGAAATTCTGGTTTCTTAATTGTATTTTTGTTAATATTTGACAGGTTAATAATTTATAGTAGACATGCCAGACAAAAGTATATTTTCATTTTTTTTACTTTTTTCAAACATTTTTACCCAATTTGTGATGAATTCCTGCAGTTATTATGTTTATTTATATCTGATCTTTGATGCTTTTAATAAAATTGACTATTGACATTAATCATCAAAATGACTCAAATCAATATATTTCACTAAACTTTCATTGTTTTGCTGATCGCCGGCTTTGTAAAAATTAATTCCAGTGACTTGCAGTTTAATATTATAAAAATGACTAATAAAACTATCACTGTATTAATTGTTCCTATATTTTTCTGAAGCTGAAAGGAGAGAAATGCTTTCTTCTTCACTGAGTTGACTGTTGTGTGTTTGTCAGGCGTCACTCGTCCTAAAGTGAGCGTCCTGCCGCCCTCCAGTGCAGAGATCTCCTCAAAGAAGACAGCGACACTGGTGTGTGTGGCCAGCAAGGGCTTCCCGTCAGACTGGAGCCTGAGCTGGAAGGTGGACGGGAGCAGCAGGTCTCAGGAGAGCAGCGCTGGGCTCCTGGAGAAGGACGGTCTGTACAGCTGGAGCAGCAGCCTGACTCTCTCTGAGCAGGAGTGGATGGAGAGCGTCTCAGTGAGCTGTGAGGCCACACGGAGCGGCCAGCCTGCGCTCACTGGACACGTGACGAGACAGCAGTGTTCAGAGTAGATCTGCTGCTCTTCTCACTCATGTCTCACATGGAGACTAACAGCACATGAGCGACTCCTTCATTCTCCACATCCAGCTTCAGTCGCTCGCCTCTGCATCTGCTCTGCTTTGTGTGCTTCATACAAGACTATATGTGTGCTTTATCATTCTGTCTGGATTTTATTACAATTCAGTCAATAAATAAAACTGTAGCTTTATGTCTTTGAGTCTTTCTGTCACTTGTGTTTGAGGTCTTTAGCTCACACTTTATAAATAAACTTCACTCAGTGGAGCACGAAAACACCTGCAGATTCATGAGGAAACAAACATGCGGCCAAATTATGAACCTCACAGATAAAATGGTAGACAAATTCAATAAGATAAAGTGTTGTAGATTTAAGCATTTATCATGTTAAAAACTAAAATGAATGCTTTATATTTAATTCAATATTTATAAAAATGCCCTGTTGTGTGTCAGTAATAGTGTTTGAGTAGCTGCAGCATCAGTTCATCACTGTGACTCTGACTGACGGAGGTTTTTGTACGACTCTTTATCACTGTGTGAACACAACATCACCCACACAGCCACCATCAGAATTTGTTCTGCAATGAAAACTCTGACAGTAATAATGTCCAGCATCTTCAGTCTGGACTCCACTGATGGTCAGAGTGAAATCACTGTTAGATCCACTGCCACTGAATCTAGATGGAGTTCCTGACTCAAGGCTTTTTGCATAACGAATAAGGAGTTTAGGAGCTTCTCCAGGTTTCTGTAGGTACCAGAATAAAGCATCATCCCCATCACTATATCTGTACACATCTCTGCTGGTTTTACAGTTGATTTTGACTGTTTCTTCTGGTTGAGCTGCTGTCGTTGAGGGACTCTGAGTGACGCTGATCTGTCCTCTACTCTCTGAAACACACAACAAGAAGAAAATCAACTCAAAACTTTGACAATATACTTGAAGAAATGAATTCATATCAAACTTGTGCTCCACAAACCTTGAGCAAACGCTGTGAGAGTCCAGATGAAGATGATGATGAAGGTCATGTTGATGAAGATTGTTGTGTGTGTCAGTGATGAAGTGTTAAACTCACAGCACTATAAATACTCTCAGAGCACTGAAGCATCTGATCAATATGCAAACACATTCCACATCATTTACCTGAAGACATTCGCTCATTATCTGACACAAAATACAATTACTGAAATAAGATAAAAAATTAATCTTTTTCATAATATTATATCTTCTAACAGCCAAGCTGTTACAAATTGTCTCAGATCACTCACTATAGAATTCATCTTTAAGACCAACATTAGTATATTATCCTGACTGTCTCCTGTGAGACTTTGAGAATATTTTTGACTGTAGTTGGATAGAAACATGACTGTTAATTCCTATATTTTATGCCAAATCCATGGATGTTCCTGCAGGTTTTTACAGACATGAGGATCATCACACGAGTCTCTGTCAATCACTGAATCAACTGAGCTTAATTGTGAGTCGCGTCACACATGATATAAAAGTTAATTTCTTTTAGAAATTCAGTTTGATGCTTTAGTAGTAATGCAGACTGCATAAAGCAGATGAAGTAACAGAAGGTAATGTCTGCTGTGAGTGGATGTGTTTGTTGGAGACTCAGTTGATGTGTGTTTGTGCAGTTAGTGAAGCGTCCAATCTATGGATGTTCCTGCAGGTTTTTACAGACATGTAATTTTATTTTTTAGTTCACACTGAATGTTTGGCAATCAACCTCAACTTAAATGAGTTTAAGTAAAACCTGCAGATATTTTAAAACTGAAAATAATGGTTGTTTAATTGTATTTTTTTTTTTTTTTTTACAAATATTTGATAGGTTAATAATTTATAGTAGACATGCCAGACAAAAGTTATATTTTCTGTACTTTAAAAAACATTTGCATCCAATCTTCTCATGCTGTCATCACAAACTGTAATGAACTCCTGCAGTTATTATATTTACTCACATCTGATCTTTGATTATTTTTTAATAAAAGCATGCTTCAGTTCAACATTGAAGTAGATAACGAAAATGACACTTTGAATCAATATAGGGTACAACGAGGCTAAAGGCACACCTTAAAAAAAACGTGCTTTTCACTGCACCTAAAATGTATAATTGCAGAAAAAAACATATATGTTTGTATTGAACCTTAATGGAGCAACAGATTTTGTTTGAAAATAAATCATACAAGTCCTTTATTTTGTTTAAAAATCTTATAAATGTATGTGGTGGCCTTTTACCCTACACACGGACAAAAGGCACATAGTATTGATACATATACTTCAGCTAAAATAATGTTTTTTTTTAAATAATGTGTTAAGTTAAATAACTTTAAGTTAATACTTTTTCAAAAACAATCAGTTTAGCAAAGTTTTTACTATTTTCTGCTTATTTTGAAAAATAAAATAATTAATTTGTTCAATAAATATACTGTCATTAGAATATGTTAATATAAAAAATATACATTTTAAAATACAGAAACAAAATCATTTAAAAACAAAAGATTCTGAAAGCATTGAAGGAGATCCCATAATAATTTAATATAGATTTACAGTAGGATAGTAACAACAAATTATATTTTATTATATGATATGATATCATGTTTTTAAATATGATGGTTTCATTCTAAACATGGTGATTTTATCTCTAATATGGACACCCAACATAATATATGATATTTACCCTCTGAATCTAACCATGTCATGTCATCAAATGGAAAAGTTAGCCATCTATTAATTATCAAGTTAGTTACTGTGCCTTTAGCCCCAACAGCAGGGGCGCTTTTTACCCCAAATACCATACTTTTACATATTCTTTCGTTATTTAAAAACTGTTGCTTTAATTATCTTAAACAAAACTGAAAATCATACAGAAGACCTTTGTCTCAAAATATATGCATTAATTTGAGCGATTCTCATTTGCTACTTAAATTACAACATTTTAAACAACATAAAATATTGATCAAGTAAGCACAGAATCAACTTTGCGCTGCTGCCAGCGGTTGTGTCAAGGATCAGCCAAATATACACATGCATCTTGAAAAGCGGATGTTTAGGAAAGTGCTACGCCACGTTTTTGTGCCATCTAGTGGTTTAGAGGAAAATAGTATCAAAGGCGCCTTTTACTGAGACAGGATACGGATTGTAAAGTTCTACTCTTTCTTTTAACTTACCTTCGGATGTTTAGTCATGTTTATTCTGTGCTGAAACTGGTACAAATGTGGAGAAGATGATTAGTTCACATGCGCCTCGCGCTTCTGCGTCTGTTGAACTAAGGCGCTACAGCAATCTGTCACTCAACATTAAACAGCGCCAAAACGGCATTTATTGTTTGAATACTGCAATAGACTCATCGATTCTTGGGATTTAAGAATCGATATCATTCCGTAAAAATGAGAATCAATTAAAATCGAGATATCTATATTTTTTACCCAGCCATACCTTTTACCCCGTTGTACCATATTTCACCAAACTTCCATTGCTGTTTACTAGCTTTATAAAAATGAATCCCCGATGACTTGCAGTTTAATGTTGTTAAAATGGCAAAGAAAAGCTATCATAGTATTTATTTTTGATATATTTTTGAAAACTTTTTGAAAGGAGGGAAATGCTTTCTTCTTCACTGAGTTGACTGTTGTGTGTTTGTCAGGCGTCACTCGTCCTAAAGTGAGCGTCCTGCCGCCCTCCAGTGCAGAGATCTCCTCAAAGAAGACAGCGACACTGGTGTGTGTGGCCAGCAAGGGCTTCCCGTCAGACTGGAGCCTGAGCTGGAAGGTGGACGGGAGCAGCAGGTCTCAGGAGAGCAGCGCTGGGCTCCTGGAGAAGGACGGTCTGTACAGCTGGAGCAGCAGCCTGACTCTCTCTGAGCAGGAGTGGATGGAGAGCGTCTCAGTGAGCTGTGAGGCCACACGGAGCGGCCAGCCTGCGCTCACTGGACACGTGACGAGACAGCAGTGTTCAGAGTAGATCTGCTGCTCTTCTCACTCATGTCTCACATGGAGACTAACAGCACATGAGCGACTCCTTCATTCTCCACATCCAGCTTCAGTCGCTCGCCTCTGCATCTGCTCTGCTTTGTGTGCTTCATACAAGACTATATGTGTGCTTTATCATTCTGTCGTGATTTTGTTAAAATTCAGTCAATAAATAAAACTGTAGCTTTATGTCTTTGAGTCTTTTTGTGTCATTTTCATTTCAGCTCTTTCATTGGTTCAGAGCTTTAGCTCACATTTTATAAATAAACTTCACTCAATGGAGCATGAAAACACCTGCAGATTCATGATGATACAAACATGCGACCAAATTATGAACCTCACAGATAAAATTAAAGAAAAATTTGATAAGATAAAGAATAGATTAATTAAGGTATTTACTATGCAAAAGCTCAATGGATGTTTTTCATTTAATATCCATGAATATCTACTGTTGAGTGAGTGTTAGTGTTTGAGCAGCTGCAGCATCAGTTCA